AAGATTCCACCCTTAAGATTCAGACAGACAGAATACTAGAATCAATAACCTAATTTACCCATCCTGGACATGAACCAGTTGGCAACACACTATGATTTCATGAGCATGGCATTCAAGGTGCTTCAAGGTTGTTGCCAGCCCGGGTCAGGCTCTCGCTCTGTGGACTCATGGCGTGCTCGCCCACGTCAATGAAATGAACTGCGGCACGCTGACGTTGTGGCTGGTCATGTTCACCATCAACACCTGTGGGGAGAAGGACAACGATGGGGCATCTGGTGCTTGAAGTTCCCCACACACATAGAACTCAGGGGCTAGCCAGTGCCCACAGGGCCCCTGCTCTCCCCCAATTCACAGCCAGCTGCCAGACTGCCCTCTGATTTTCAGGTGAGGAAGTGAGTCCTGATTCCTTACAGTGAAGATTGCTCAGTAACAGTGAAAGGATGAGCATCTAAACAATGCTACATGCAAACACCACAGAGAAACAGTTGCACAGCCACAATGGAGAAGACACCCCTTTCTCACTCTCCGAGTGCTGATTGTCCTCTGACTCCCCCATGCCTGTATTGTGTTTTCTCCCCCTGTTCCCTCACAGCAACCCAATGATCTCCCAATGGAAGTCTAATATCCATACTCCTTTCTAGGCAAAAACTTTCCAGAAGGTTCCACTGTGTGGGCAGTAGTTAGCTTGTGTGTCAGTCCACGAGCTTGGCAACGTCAGAACTGGGCAAAGCCCTCGACGGGCTCTTGGTAAAATTGAAGGACTTGGTTGACAGGAAAATTGCAAGTATAGGAAAATATATTTAAACATAAACAAGTCTGAGAGAAACGTTTGTTTCAGACTTCATAAGCAGAAAGGGTTGTGAGAGAAAAACAGCTTAGGAAAGATGAAGAAGTAAGCACACAAGGAAGGGTCACTTTACCATCAAGATGAGAAGTGTTGGGACCTCACACTCCATTAATTCCGAGGTGCAATTTTCCATGGGTTTGTCATTGTTGTTACCAGCTGCCATTGAGTGGCCCCAACACATGGTGACCCCATGTAAAATGGAATGAAATGCTTCCCGGCCCTGTGCCACTCCCATGACCAGTTGTGGATCTGGCTGTTGTGATTCACGGGGTTCTCGCTGGCTGACTGATGGAAGTAGACCACCAGGGTTTTCTTCCCAGTCTTAGCCTGGAAGCTGCAGTGACACGTGGTCAGCAACATAGCAGTGTGCAAGTCTCCACTGACAGAGAGGTGGCGGCCGTGCACGACATGCCTTGGCCAGGAACTGAACCTGGGTCCCCTGCATGGAAGGCAAGGACACTACACTGACCCATCACTGCCTCTCATGTATTTAACACCCATGAGATCACAACGTGTCATGCCATCTAGTCTTAGAACTACTGTGGGCCAGGCAGCCCCACGACATAATGATCATTGCCTGTGTATACAATGTGAACTTGATGACTGTTGATGTAGGAAGGTCACCTGAAAACCATGTAAGGCCAGTTTAGGAAGGACATGAGGCCTGGTTGGCATCTGTAGAAACATCAAGAAAGTACCAGAATCGAAACTTGTGTGATGGATGTAAGTGGTTTGACAGATCTTGAAATGTCTTAATCTCATAGACAACAGTGGAAGAATCTTTATAAAATGCTAAGCCACCAAAACCCTTGAAAATACAGAGAAAAATATTGGGTGAAAGTACATGGGCCTTCTGAATTCTATATCAATTTAATTCAGAATGGGAAGCAGTACTAAATACTTCAACCAATTTGTGTCACTTAATAGTTTTTGTTTTAGATATGCCCAATATTGAAATGATAAAGTACATATCTAATGAAGTTTTAGAAAACTTTCTATAAGTTTGAAGTGATAGTTTGAGTGACAGGAAAGTGTTGTAGCATGGTTTCGTCACCTGTTTTCTTCTTTCTTTGTAGCATGTGGAGACATGGAGCATCTTTTAACAGACAGCATCTTAGACTTGATGAAATATGGTAGTTCAAACTATTTGATGAAATATGGTAGCTCAAGCTATTTGGGAAGTAGATCTCTGAGGCAGAGGTCAGGGAGTAAAGACAGAGGGTAGCATAGATTTGCAGACTAGAAACAAAGATGGAAAGTAAGAGTCCAGATCCTCAGTTCTAAGTCTGTGCTGTTGTTGCTAGGTGCTGTTGTTGCTAGGTGCTGTTGTTGCTAGGTGCTGTGGAGGCAGTCCCAGCTCCTAGTGACCCCGTGTACAGCCCAATGAAACACTGCCCTGTCCTGCGCCATCCTCACAGTGTTTGCCACGTCTGAGCCCAGAGCGCAGCCACTGTGTCAATCCAGCTCATTGAAAGTCTTCCTCTTTTTCTCCGATCCTCTACTTTAGCAAGCATGCTGTCCTTCTCCAGGGACCAGTCCCTCCTAATAACACGTCCAAAGTATGAGATAGTCTCACCACCCTCACTTCTAAGGAGCATTCTTAGAATGCTATACTTCTTCCAAGGCAAATGTGTTTGTTCTTCTGCTGTTGTTGTTGTTGTTATGTGTCATCGAGTGGTCTCTGACTCATAGCGACCCCTCCGTGGGTTTCCGAGGTGGTATCACAATGCCCAACCTTCCTTCCGAGGAGTGCCTGGTGGGCTTGAACCGCCAGTCTTCTGGTTAGCAGTCAAGTGCCTTAGGCACTATGCCATTTGATATTCTTCATCAACACCAACATTCAAATGCATCAATTCTTCTTTGGTCTTCTTTATTCATTGTCCAGCTTTCATATGCATATGAGGTGATTGACAATACCATGACTTGAATCAGGCACACTTTAATCCTTAAAGTGACAGCTTTACTTTTTAACACTTGAAAGGAGGCCTTTAGCAGCAGATTTACCCAATGCAATGTCATTTGATTTCTCAACTGCTGCTTCCATGAACATTGATTGTGGATCCAAGTAAAATGAAACAGTATTTCCTCCATTTATCACCCAGTTATGATAAACCATGGATTTTCCCACCACCCTCAATGCTGCCCCCTGCTGACATGTGTATAGGGAGGGATTTCCGAAGGTAGTTGCAGGCAGGGGTGTCTTTTGGAAGGGAGGTTGGCAGGCATGATATCAGGCATCTCAGAGTTGGGAAATACCACTTAGACACCTCACTAGTCACGAACCTCTGTTGCAGCGTTGTAGTTGAAGTTTGGTGTGATAGTCGTGCCAGTTACAGAGACGCTGACACTGGTGATGGGGACACTGCCCACTCCCCAGATCTCCACATAGCCCAGTTTCAAATCGTTTGTGTCAACGGTGTAGTTATTGAAAATTATCTGACTCTTCAGTGTATTCTGTCAAATGCAAAAGAAACCAGAAGTGAAAAATGGAAAAAAAAAAAAATTAGTCCAAACTTTCCCCCAACATCTTTTTTAGACATAAATGTAGCTCATAAGTTAAAACAACTTTGGAGTCACCATCTCATGGTCTTGGATGGTGTTAACCATGATTTCAGTACCCTGTCTCCTGTTCCTGACTCTCCTCCAGTTGCATTGACTTAGCACCCTAGCATTGCCCTCGGTTCTGTAGGAGAAAGAGAGCCCCAGCTATCAGAACATGCATATTCTATGTGTAGGGAATTCATGCAATATGAGACAATGCCAAGGCAAAACAGGAAGCAGGGCTGGGTCACACAGAAACAGCCTGTCCAGCTGTGCAATGGTGAACTGAGAAAGTCACCATGAAGATGGAGATGGGTTAATCACAGAAAACGTCCTGGGAGCAGAATGACTCTCCACCTGAAGTCCAGGAGGGATGGCCAAGGAAGGCATTCTAGGTGGTACTTTATGCCCCAATAATACCCAGCATTGGGCTAAGCTGAGATGATTCTCTCCTTTCTTCATCATCTCAGGAACACTCACCTGGCTGGCAGAAAAGTTGGCCAAGTAATAGAGCCCATTTTCAAAGGTATCTGCAAACAAAAAACATGGTGGAGTCATCTGGAGCCCCGCTACAGAATTCCATTCCCCTTACCTTGCCGAAAGAGTAGGGATGGCTTTTGTTTGTTTTTATCTTGTTTTCCTTCTTTACAGTGTTCCCTTTTACAATTTAAGTCATCTTTATGTGAATGAAAAAGACTCTGTCCCCTACCCCCCACCCCACCCTCAGTGTACACGACATAGTTTTTCAAAGAGTGTGGAGACCATCTACCCGGTGGAGTTACTGTAATCACCATAGTTTGTTAGCACTGCTCTTAAACCACCTTCCTTCCTCTAAGTCCACCACTCCCAGCATCTCCTGTCTCCTCCTTCTGCTTATACACATACATGCACAAACACTAACACTGGTGTCTTGATGGGCTTGTCTTTGAAAAATACTAGGCAATTTTTAAATGTGACCTCCAGAGAGCAGAAGAAAAGTCTTCTTAATTTATCCTTTACTTTTAATATATGCCACAAGCCCATGAGGTCCATGGCCCAGCCTCTGGGGGCAGGAAGACCAATCAAGAAGCTGTTACAGGAATCCCATCACTAATCCTTACCTCACAGCTTTCTCACTCTTCCAATGTGCTGGCCTTTTGCTAGTTTACTCACCACCCAATCAGGGACATTGGCTATCATCCAGAACTGTGAGGTCCAAGACATAGCCACTAGCCAAGTGAAGCTATGTAAATTTAAATTAATTAAAAGTAAATAAAATGAAAAATTCAGTTCTCAGGTGCACTTGCCACATTGCAAGGACTTAATAGCCACATGTGGTAATGGCCACTGTATCAGACAGCAGAGGACAGAAGTTTCATGTTGTTGTTATTACATGTTGTTGAGTTGGTTCTCACTCATAGGGACTCCATGAACAACTGAATGAAACACTGCCTGGTCTTGTACCATCTTCACAATCTTTGCCATGTGTGAGCCCATTGTTGTAGCCACTGTGCCAATCCATTCCATTGAAGGTCTTCCTCTTTTTGGCTGACCCTCTATTTTACCAACTACAATGCCCTTCTCCAGGGACTGGTCCCTTCTGATGACAAGTCCAAAGTACGTGAGTGAAGGTACAGAAGTTCTATACATGTATCCATTGTTACTAGCAGTCTCCTTCTGAGAACCTACCCCAGATAACAGCACAGCTGATGGAAGGTACAGTCCTTCTTACTGGGACAGTGCCCAATGTCATTAGGAAATGAGCCCTTGGTCAGAGGCCACATGGAAGTATGTGCTGGCCTTCTACAAAGAAATCTTCTATATGGCTCCCATCTTACGGCCATGGGAGCTAGACTGGTGGCAGCAGGAGCCGTTCAGAGCCAAGCATAAGCAACATGAGGCAGAAGGACCGTCTGCAATACGGATTACACACCTGAAGGCACTACTGGCCACCTGTGCGAGTGCAAGATGGCCAGGCCATGGAAAGGAACCAGCAGGCCTGGAAGAACCCAGGAATGTAGCCCATGGCATTGGCATGAAGCCCAGGTAACCCTACTCACCAATGCTCTGCCCATCATCCCAGAAGAGGCAGCCCTCAGCAGTGCCTGCGTCATCCAAGGCAACCTTGAAGCCCATGAATTTCTGGCGGCTGCAGTGAGGTGGGAAAGGCATGAGATAAGGCAAGGCCAAGGGCACAAACCACAGGCTTTGATGAAAACAGAAAGGAGCAAAAGGAAGTTCTTTGTGGTGTGAAGACTGGGTCCTGGGGGTCAGGAGACAGTGACCCCACCCTGGTCCTGTGACCCTCTCACTACAGAACGTCAGGTCCGGCATGAGTGGATGAATGAGGCAGTCAAGCCATCCATCCACCTATCAATCCATCCACCAATCAAGGGGAGTTTTCCTTTCTGGCTCTTAAAGAAACTAAAACTCTCTGACCGGGTTCCCTCCTCCCTCTTTGTAGGAAAAGCCCTGAGGCTAGGCTCTTCCTTCCTTCATGCCCCACATCTCCTACACACTCCCACAGAGAGTTCTGTTTGCTGCAATATGACTAAACTCTTCAGCTTTTATCTGAACCTTTGGAACCAAATGAGAAAGGATCCAAGAATTTGGGTCTGACATCAGGCAGACTTAAGTTTCAGTCCCTGCTTGACTACGTCACTTAGTCTCTTAATGCCTCTCTTTGCTCATCTGTAAAATGGGGATAAAACAGCATCTACCTGATAGGATTTAATCTTTCCTTTTGTTAAGAAAAAAAGTAGATAATACACAAGTAGACATGTCTGTGTGTGTACAATTGCTGGCATGCGGTAAGCATTCACACGATGTTGACTCTCATGCAAGGTAATAAAACCAAAAAAAGCCCACTGCCATAGAGTCAATTCTGACTCATAGCGACCCCATTGGGTTTCCAAGGAGGTAAATCTTTACCAAAGTAGATTGCCCAGTCCTGCTTCTGCAAAGTGGCTGCTGGGTTTGGACCACCAACCTTCTGGTTAGCAGTCAGACGTCTTAGGCACTGTGCTACCAGAGCTCCTCATATGTGATAGAATGTAGTATTTAGTATTAATATAATAATAACACTATTATTAATATTAATATAAGAGTTATATAATAACCATATGAACTAGGTCTAGAATTTTAAAATCTTTCCTGAGGAACCCCAGTCCCAGATATCAGTTGCAATGTGACATTAGCCTTCTTAACAAAGAGTCAATTAAACTCAAACAGTCTTCTGAAAACGTTTAGGCAGAGCTCACCTCTCCTGTCATGACCCCCAGTTGAAATGTCCCCGTCTAGCCTCTTATATCAGAAATCATTGTTAATAGCTCTGTAAACTTTGATAAAAGTAAAAAAAAAAAAAAAAAAAAAAAAAAAAAATCAAGCTAACAACGTCAGGTGCTTCTATAACAGCTGAGGGCCAAGGGTGTGGGCATCGTAGGAGTGTGAGTGACCTGGGTCACAGAGGCAGCAGCCCAGCGGACTCACCTCAGGTAGGTGTTCAGCGCGGGCTCCTGCCAGGGCAGGATGTAGCCCCCACGCACGTGGAGATTGATGTGTTCAAGAGGGGCTGGCAGCCTCCTCCACTCGCCACTGATGTTAATGTTCACACCCTGTGAGATGGAAGAAGGGGAGAGGTGCTGAGAGGGAGAGCACAGACCCTCCCCACATACACACACAAGGACATACCACATACGCACTCACACACGTATGCACACTCACACAGGTATGCCACACAGACACACACACTCACACAGACACACACATTCAGAGACATACCACATACACACACAGACACACCCCACACACAAAGACGTAGCACATACACACTCACACACACATACATTCACTCACACAGACACACCACACACACACAGACACACCCCACACACAAAGGCATAGCACATGCACACTCATACACATATACACACTCACACATACACAGCCCCACATGCAAACACACATGGGCTCACATGTGGCCATCCCCACTGCAGCCGACACTTGCTCTCTGCCCCTCATCCCTGTTCTGACTCACTGCCCGCCCCCTCCCCTCCAGCACACACTCCTGTTGGGACATTTCCCCGTGGTCACCCAGGGGCTATGTGTAGCCTCCCTGCTGCTATAATGTCTTGCTAGGACTTCTTTTCTTTGGAGGCTTTTACAGATCTGCTACATGAAGTCATAGGGTGGGTCGCCCCCACCCCCATGTATCCCCATTTCTGTGTCCCTGAGCACAGCCAGAGAAGGCTGGACAATCATATGCATTCCTGTTGGCCCCAGACTGACCCATGGCTTTTCTACACCCTCCCTTGAACCAGGAGCACTTTCCCCATCACCCCTCACTGCCCCCACCCTCACTCCCACCATCCTGGCCAACAACTTCACGGAAAACGTCCATTTGCTCACGGGCCCTCCAAATCCTTATGTTTAACTCAGCGTATCTGCCCCTATGTCTGACATCTTGATCTTGCCCCATGTGGCAGGGGGAGGTGCTCCCATGCCCCGAGCATGAACCCTCTGCTCCTGGGAGGCACCCTTCCACATTTCCTCAGCCAGCACAGGGCTTCTCCACCTGGCACCATGGACAGTACGGGATGACGATTCTTTGCTATGGGCGGTGGTCCCGCACATTGTTGGATCCCTAGGCTCTACCAACCAGTAGCCACTAGCCCTTTCTCCAACCCTGCTGCAACAAGCAACGGTGTTCCCAGACACTGCCAAATGTCCTTGGTGACAAAATCACCCCATTTGAGAACCACTGCTTTGGAGATAGGAGGCACCCCTCATTCTTAGCCCCCGACACTTGACTCACTGTACAGAAGGCGGGGTGAGGGGGCAGAGGAGAGAAGGAGTACCAGGAAGCACAGCCGCGGCTCCCACACTTCCCAGGGCCACCTCCAAAATCCAGTTGCCATGAGTCAATTCCAGCTCACAGCGACCCCACGCGTGTCAGACCCTAACTGCTCCACTGAAAGCAATGGCTGACTTTTCAGAAACTGATTATCAGGCCTTTCTTTTAAGGTGCCTCTGAGTGGAGCTCTGGTGGCCTAGTGCCTAAGACACCTGACTGCTAACCAGAAGGTTGGCGGTTCAAACGCACCAGCCACTCCTCGGAAGCAAGACTGGACAATCTACTTCTGTAAAGATTTACCACTTTGGAAACCCAATGGGGATTGCTATGAGTCAGAATTGACTCAATGGCGGTGGGTTTGGTGTTTTGGTTTTCGGGGTGGACTTGAACCACCAACCTTTCAGTTAACAACCAAGCAGGTTGGTCATTTGTACCACCCGGGAACTCCTAAGTGTTAGTGCTCACTGCCGTTGAGTCAGTTCTAACTCACGGCAACCCTGTCACAGAGCACAACTGTACTCCTTAGGGTTTTCTTGCCTATAATCTGTATGGAAGGAGATAGCCAGGTCTTTCTTCCATGGTGCCTCTGGGAGGGTAGTCGAGACCAAGCCATTTGCATCACCCAGAGACCTATAAGTTTACTAGAGTAAGTAAAATCACTTGCCATAAACTAAATTGTGCAAAAGTCCTAAAAACTTAGATTCTGAGTATGTTCTTCAGTGGCACAACCAAGGCCCCAGAATTCTGCATCTGCCTTTATGCACCACCTCGGATTGTGGTGGTGTAAGAAAACCTGAAGACCCCATCACAGGATGCCACGAGGAGCCAGGCCCTGGGCGAGACGCGGTCGTGCTCCTTTCAGCAGCCCTGCGAGGGACAAGGCCTCAGCCATCTGAAGGTGAAAAGGCTGAAGCTGCCTGCACAGCTCAGAGTGACTCCTCCAAGGCCACCCAACAGGTGGTCAAGAGCCAGAATTGAACCTGAGGTTTCTCTTGACACTCATCCATGCTCCTACATTGTATAAACAATCAGAAAACGTACCGTGTAGTAATCATACCAGCGGGCTTTAGGGAAATACGCAGTGACGGTCCTGGCGAGCTAAAATTAAACATAAACAAGGGAGGTTGCAGCTCTGTCATCTAGGTTGGTGACCAGTTTGCATACGGACGGGGTTAAAAAAGCAGTCCTGGCTGTGGACCCACCTCCTCGTCTCCCTAGAACCATCAGTGAAAGGACTCTTCTCCCCTTCTCCCTTCGCAAACAGAAGATTTGCCTACTCAAAACTGGTGGCTTCCTTAAAGCCCGTTCAGTGCAACACTTTAGAAAAAGAAGCCACCGCTGGCTCGCAGGTCACCCCAAGCCCTCTGAAAGGAGACAGACTGAGGTTGGGCCTGGGCAGGAGAAAATGTTGTAGGTGTTATAGTGTCCCTATTTCAGATTATACGAAGAGTTGAACCAGATTTGGGGAGGATGCAACTTGTGTGTTAATCAGAGGCCTAATCACAAGGAGGAAGTAACGCAATGGCTTTTGCTACCTGAGAACCTCTTACTGAGAGGAGGGAAGGAGGACGTGGTCAGAACAAGGTTATACACACTGCTGCAGGTGACCCTTCCAAGAGTTTTGTTTTACTGCCCACATTGGGGTGTGAGGAACTTACCATGGCCCTGCTGGACCCCACACTGCTTAGTCCAGGGAACAGAGAGAAGACTACATCTTTGAATAGACCGCTAGGGTTTATACCTTCTCAATTGTGCTTTGACCCAGAATGACTGAGATCTTAAAGACGAGGGAGCTGAGTTAGACCACATGAAGGACGACCTCCAGCTCAGAGGAGAGGAAGAAGCCCCTCACCCAGCCTGGGAGCAGCCTCTTATCCTCACACGTCCCCTCCACCTGCCTCCTAGCAGGGACCCTCCACCCTTCCGAGGCTGTACTCACAGGCTCCAGGACGGGGCTGACCAGGAAAGCAGGGCCCAGCAGGAACTGACTGTCGACATCCCAGGTCTCCCGGTCTGACACAAATCTGTGATAGGGAACCACAGAAGCACTAGCGTTCCCAGAGGGGCCCAGGCCAAGTCCTGGAGAGACTGTCCCACCTCGAGGTCCAGAAACCCAGTCTGCTTTCTGTGCTACACTCTCCTCTTTATCTCGGTACAGCTTTGCCGGGTACATGCAGCCCCACTTTCTACACGTATGTGATGGGTTGAGTGGTGTCCTCCAAAGACACAATGAAGTCCTAACACCCAGGACTTGTGAACATGACTTGTTTGCATGTAGGGTCTTTGCAGATTTGATTTCATTCACATGAGGTTACACTGGAGTAGGTGGGTCCCAATTCCACCCGAGTGGTGTCCTTGTCAAACAGGAGAAGAGACACAGAGAGACGTTGATGGGAAATGAACCATGTGAAATCAGAGGCAGAAATGGGGTGATCTACAAACCGAGGAACATCAAGGAACACCAGGAGACATCAGAAGCCTTGAGAAAGGCAAGGAACGGCTCCTCTCTCGAAGCCTCATGAGGAATTCACACAGACAAAAACCCAGTCTTGGCCTCCCAGCCTCCAGAACTGGAAGACAATACATTTCTGTTCTTGTAAGTCACTCTATTTGTGGTGCTTTGTTACCACAGTCTGAGAAAACTAATACGATGTCATAGTCTCCAAACTCCAGAAATGGCTCTCACTTATAAAACATCTCTTTCCTATCCCTGGCATATTTTAAATGCAAAGACAGCCTTCCTCTCTTGCCTTAGAATTCCTTCTTTTGTAATCTGAGCTCATGTTGACCTAATTCCACATGATTAAACTGCTACAAAAGATAGGTAGATGTTTGCTTGCCCAAATTAGAAGTAAATTATTCTGTGCCATCTTGTATCATTTAGAAAATTATTTTCACTCAATAGCCACTCAGCTGCTAATCAAAAGGTCAGTGGTTTGAACCCACCAGCCACTCTGTGGGAGAAAGATGAGGTAGTCTGCTTCCACAAAGATTTACTGCTTTGGAAACCCTATGGACAGTTCTACTCTGTCCTACAAGGTCACTATGAGTCAGAATCGACTAAGTGGCAGTGGGTTCAGTTTAGGTTTTATGGCATGGGTAACACTATGCTAAACAAGTAATAGTAAGATGGTCTGTGCCCTGGAGAGCTTATGACAAAAGGCAATCTAAGACCTTAATGTGATTAGGAAGAACTTTCTTCTTCAACTATCACCATAAGGAATCAATCATCCATAGGTCATCAGGACCAAATAGAGTGGATTATCCTTGGGTCACTGGGACAATACAGATGAATTATCCATGGGTCATTCACAGGTGGGATACATACTCATGGAGAAGGGGTCGGACGACGGTACTGCCCTCAGCATGGGCCTGGTGCATCAGGGTGTAGAGGTATGGCAGTAGAGTGTATCTGGTCTCCAGGACAGTCCTGGAGATGTCCTTAAAGGTGGTATCCCAGGACACAGGATCTTGTGCCTAAAGGAGAAAGAAGAGTATTCAGAGTTTGCCCAAGGCACCTTGAGGACGTGAGGCAAGGCACTAAAACCTTGTTCCAAATGAAGACACAAGTTAGTCAGGGATGATTATAATGACACTCAGAGAACATTCTTGAAGTCTATAAGGGGACACTGAAGCTCTCCCACCTGATAGCATTCCCCAGTAAGACATTCTTCTTAGGAATGTTTGGTATATCTCTGCCTAATCAGAAAGACTAATCCAAGGAACACTGGGGATATGGTTCATGGAGACGTGAGGACTCAGTGACATTGAGGATGTCCCCAGTGAACATGGATTTCATTCATTGTAGCTCATCACTGGAGGTTGGTTTCAGTGACGGAACATCTGAGGTATGAATGAATGTCCTACCTTGGTGCCAATGGTGTTGTGGTTCCTGGAGAAAGGGTAGAAGGCCCCCAGCTGCATCCAGCGGACACACATTTCATACTCTGCATCGTTAAAGAACCCACAAATATCTGCTCCCGTCTACAAGAGGAAATAGCATGAGCCTGGTAGTGAATTCTGGAAGATCTTACCACCTGCTTGGGGATCAGGAGTGAGCCAAGGGGAACTTACATAGGATATGCCAAAGAGGCTGAACTCCATCATGCCTGCAACAAGAACCACAGTCCGTCAAAGGAAGAGGTAGGGTACTCGACCTACCCCCTCCTCCCTCGACAGTCCTCTCTCAAGGCCCTTCCTCACCCACACAACCACAGGAACAAGCCCCCTCACCAATGATGGATTTCTTCAGCTGGTCCCAAGCAGCGGTGTTGTCACCCAGCCAGTGTCCTCCCCAGCGGCCAGAGGAGGGGAAGGTGGAGCGGGTGATGACAATGCCTCGCTGCCCCGTCACCTCCTGCACAGCCCTGGGGAAAGGGGACAAGGACGTGAGTAGAGACAGGGCAGGGCAGGAAGGGCTTTGTCCCTACGGCCAGGGCCAAGATGCTTCCTGCCTGATTTGAGCATGGAAATTGGAGCTGCAATGAGGGCCCCACTGGCCTTCCTAGGAGACCATGGCGACAGCACCAGCACAGTGGGCATTTACACAGCACTTCATGGAGAACTTTACATGCAGGGGCCTGGGTGGAGCAAGAGGTTTGCAATTGGCTGCTAACCCAAAGGTTGGCGGTTTGAAACCAGGGGTTCCACGGAAGAAAAAGCCTGGGAATCTGCTTCAGTAAAAAGAATGGTCAAGCAAACCCTGGGGGGCAGTTCTACTGGGCAACACGTGGGGTCGCCATGAGTTGGAATTGACTCAGCACCTAACAACACCAAGCTCACCAGCTTCCTAAACTGGTAGCTGTTGTTTGTTGTTGTTATGTGCTATCGAGTCGGCCCCAACTCATAGCGACCCCTCCTTGGGTTTTCGAGGCGGTATCACTACAGAAGTAGATTGCCCAATCTTCCTTCCGAGGAGTGGGAACTGGTAAGCAATCACTAATTCTCACTACCTACTGCCCCAGTATTTTGTTTTATCTATCTGAGGAGGAAGTGGGTGTCTTTAAAACACTTTTCTTCGGATAATTGATTCTTTGACTGACCTCACACAACAAGACTGTGTTAATTCAGGAGAAAACCAATTGGCTATCAAATAAGAATGACCAGGGGGGAAAAAAATCATCCCACTAACAGTGGTCCATTTCTGAGAGAAAAGAGAATGAGGTCCAGCCCTTTAACTCACCATCACCTCACCGTGCTGTGTACTCATTGCACATGACACAGGCACTCATCTCCATGTCTGCCCCCAGCACAAAAAGCTGCAGGCCCATGCCTTGCTCCTTAAACCTGGGCTCCTGACTACAATCACAGGGTGGGCCTGGCTCTGTGCTCCACGTATGTTTAGTAAAAGAGAACTGCTATATCATCATTGCAATCAAACTCTTCTTAGCTCTGGGACAGGGATGAGAGGAACTTGGCCATCATGTCATCCCTGGTGATCCCCCAGGTGTGCTAGTTGTGGGAGCCATGACTCACTCATAGGTGGGCCTGGTCTGCGCCCAGCCATACAGGTTGTGCACATCATAGTGTCGAACCCGGGAGCCGTCCGCCAACACCTGCTCACTCTCCATGCACAGCGTCTTGCTGCTCAGGCCCCTGTCCCGGGACTCCAGAGCTGAGGGGAGAAGCAAGGACGTGAAAACCACCCAACCTACTTCACCTTCCTCATCCCTGCAGGGATTGACTGAGGCGAGGGTGGGCTTCCCCTCCTCCCAGGGCTCTGTTCAGATCCAAGGGGTCTCCAAGTGGTTCAACACCACACTCCTCTTCAGGGTCCTCCAAAGACAGGAGACCAAGGAAGAACCCACTGCACAGAATGTTTACTGAAGGTGGGACCAGGGAAGAAGCCCCCCTGTAGAATGCTTACTGA